CCCCCCCTTCATTGAGGGCAGTTGCCTTCGTGTGCGCTAATTGCTCGATAGCCGGCATGTAGATCGTAACTTGCTGCAACTTCATCATCCCTCTTGGCGTGATGAGTGCTCGGCCATCTGACTCACCAACATTGGCGTTGGAGAACGTGTTCGGCTGTGCGCTCCCTGAGTGGCTGACTGCTTTGGATAACCTTAGTCCCAGCACCGAATATGAGTTGGGGAGGAGGTCATAACACTGGTCAGTAGACTGGGGGAAGGAGGTAAACCATGGTTAAAGCACCTCGTAGACACAGGTGATTGTCATTTATCACGGGCGTGACCGCCTGATCGAACTTGAATGTGCTGCCGGGTCTGATCGCATGAGCCGTGACTTGAGAGTTTAGTTGTCATTGCTCTGCGTTGCTGTCGCATCTTCGGCAATTCGCTTCCCGGGCAGTCTTCCGGTTTCCACGACGTAGTTGCTTTGACCGCAGCTGCGCCAGATCCGAAACAGGGAGTCTGACGCCTAACGGTTGCCTCCGATGCGCGTGTTTAAGACCGCAACTGCAAGAAGGTGATTCGCGGCCTCCAATACGTCGTTGAAGTACGGAGGCGCTCGTAAAGATTTGAGGTCGGTGCGATCCTGTCGTTCATTTCCTTTGCGCACGTAATGATCGGCCAATTGGCACTGGTAGCCAGTTTCTCTGAACATTCGTCGAAGATCTTGCAAGCTGGCAACTGCATCTTCCGGTTCACTGAAGTGCGTCTCAAAAGCCGATATAGCGCCCTTGCAAGACTGCGCTTGCGGCTGATCGGGCGATTTATGTTGAAATTCTGCGCTTGCATCGTACTTGTAGCTTTCTTGAACGCTTTGGTCTTTAGGCCACCACAATCTCTGTGCGGCAGACGAGAACATCAATAAGGGCCAACTGGTTCCTCCTTCTTCCTCTATCCCAAACTGTATGTCCAGAAAGATGTTGTTGAGACGTTCTTCGGAAGTTAGTTACTGCTCCCTATTGAGGACAACGAAGGTATCATCCACATATCGGGCGCAGAATTTCGGTTTGTGGTGTTGAAGGACCAGCGAATCTAACTATTATTGGAACGGATCGGCTGTGAGTCCGGAACTCGGTGAACCCATTGGTGTTTCCTTCGCCTGCTCGTAGATTGCTCCGTTCAGCGTGAAGTAGGTCTTTAGACTGGCCTTCAGGAGGTGAAGGACCTGGGCGTGTCCGACGCTATTCTATGCTTCCTCATGTTTGCTTCGTGGGAGCAGGTAAACAACCTCAATTGCGAGATTCTGTGAGATAGAAATAAAGAGGGATGTGACAAAAAAGGAGATCATGACCCGTTTGACGGGAGACCTACCCATTTAAGTTTCTTCGGGCAATGTGTTGACGAACAGACCGTGGTGTACGAATCGGCTGTCAGAAATTTAAGACATAGGAATAGACTATTTGCCAGTCTGTTCGTTAGCCAAAGCAATTAGCCACTTGGGGAGCGCGCAGGCGAACAACTTTTCCAATGTCGAGGTTGGTGAATTAGCAGGCTGGGCAATTATCAAGCCAACCTCCAAGAGGGGCGATGGAATTTTAGCAGGTCACAGTCCACATGCCGGCCATCGAGCAATTAGCGCACCCGAGGGTAACTATCCTCAATAAAGGGGATCCTTTAGTTGTCAAAGATATGCAGTATCCTAGTAACTGCAACGCCCTGTGAACAAATTACCCTTATCTGATACTACTTCTGGTTATGGGTTTGGGTATGAATCCGAAACGCCAGGCGAATCAAGTTCTTGGCCCGGTGATCGCATCCACTTCTTCCCAAGTACTACCTGGGGCTCGCGTCTTCACTTTTATCGAAAATCTGCCTCATTCTCACCTTTCACGCTTACTTTAATCAAGCATCAAGAAGGAGGGTGAGAGAGAAGGAGAGAGAGAGTCAAGAAGACCGAATTCGGGATCGGCGCAATGACTGGCCAGGCTAACCAGTGCACCTATTCGTGCCAACCACACACAAATCTGGTCCACGCGCGACAGAGCATGACTAGATCGACAGTATTACCGGCACAGACAGGCGAGACTGGAATGGCCATTTCTGGCATATTAACCGTCGTCAGCCAGTCATACCCAGACCCAAGTGGCGTCCCACTCGAGCCTCGAACTCGCGACATCTTGCTCAGTGTCAAACGCCCTAACCATTGAGCCACGAGCTCGTTGTCTTGCCGGTTTAGGTCAGCGCATATTGGCATTCATTGATGAACGTTCAACCGGTCGCTAACGGAACTCATCTGTCTCGTTGATGAACGTTCACCTGACCGTTGGCAATACTATCTGCCTACGTTACCAGCTGCTACAGCTGTCAGAGCCTTTGTCGAGACCCTAGGCAAAGCGAGACAGATGCATTCCGTTAGCGGTTGGGTGAACGCTCATTAATGAGCATTGCTAGACTGCTCATATCTTGCTATATTCCTCGATGAACAAGACAAGCAGGTTTACCCGGAGCTATTTATTTTCAGTAGACAGTAAACCGAGGAGGAAGCATGAATATCTGCAGTATGCGCTTGCGCTATTCAAAACCGAACTTTTATTCATCAGATGGAAG